GTGTTGGTCATTCAATTGACAATATTGTGCGTTATCCTTACATTGTATGTTAAAGGAAAATCTTTAATTAAATTTCTTTACTTCGTGTATACCCAGAAAAGGTTATATTGGTATATACATTTAAATGAATCCTTCTGTTTGTCCAGTTGAATTAAAATCGCGTTATGTATGTTGTACCCAGCTGCAGCCTGAATGCTTATGTCTTGTGTTGTGTATTATAATACTACAAAGAAAAAGATACTATTAGTAATATAATAATAAAGCCAAAGAATCCTTAAAGGAGTAATGTTCAGTTTTTGTTCTGGATTATCTAAGGACCACCCTACAAATGGCACAGACATAAATATATCTGATAATAATAATTCAAACGTCTGTCGCATCTCACGATTGATGTGCAACTGTCTCGAGGTCCCTTTTTAAAACAGGCATTTAATTACTTTTTGTCTTGGAATATGGACCGTAACGCTCTATTGTTAAAAACCTTTAGAAAATTAACTCATTAAACGCATAATTTGTCTTTGAAATAAAAATTTGGTCGGTCATATTTCAATGGTTTAGTGAACAACGCTTTTTAACGAATGGGGTAATGTGAAAGTTCAATAAATAAAATGTTGTAATTTGAAGTTGGAGGTGATGTATGCGACGCTAAAACTAAACCTCTTTGTTTAACAAAATCGCAATCGTGCCCACATTTTCCGTAACAACAAACAAAAGAACAAAAGTTTTTTTTTAAATGGTACGAACCATAGAATGAAAATAAAAAAAAAAATTCACGTAATGAAACAAAAATCCGTACGGGTAGGTGCATTTGTTTAATCTACTGTAGGGTAATTTTCCGAAAAAATTCAACTATTGGGACTTTTTCCAGAAAAAATCTGGCAAATATGGCTTCAATTATGATCTACATTGAGATATATGTTTTGAAGTTTTATTTAGCGTGAATTATAAAATAAAATTGTACAGCTAAAAGTAAGAGAGTAAAACGAGATTTAGGGTCGTATTCCAGAACTCTACTCAATGTTCAAACTTGAGTATGATTTCAACTACTGGAAATACAACCTTAATGGCAAGGACTTGACTATGATTTCTAGTGCTACAAATCATACTCAAGTCTTGACTTGAGCATTGAGTAGAGTTCTGGAATACAACCCTTAAAATGATTGGACAACAGTGAAAAAAAGTATCATAGATAGAAATAAATCTTTATAATGGCTACATCGTTTTCGTTCAGTATCTTCAACTTTTGACAGGTGTTAACTGTGGAAAACTGTTATCAAATATTTATTTTATGAAATATATGAATTGTCAAAATATACATTTTTTCAAAACCCAACACTAGTTTAGTCACTACAGTAAATAGTATTTTATAAACATCGGATTCAAATGTAACAGTATAGTAATATACCAAAGCACGGTTAGGTTATGCAACATAGTAATTTACGTCATTTGTAAAAGATATATATCTTGTGGTGTCTACAATTTATGTACAATAAGAAAGAGCATCTTACCAAATATGGTGTAGATGGAATTATTAAAGCAAGATGGTGGCAGAGCTGCATGTTTATGATGCAAGTTTCTTCAGATAAAGACATAAATAACAAGTGGATAGAGCAGACTTTGCCGTATGGATGATATGAATACTTCATGCTGAGTCTTAAGTTATTTGAATTAAGTTCAATGGATAACATTCGAAAAGTTAACATTTGCACATTGACATAATCTTAGAGGATGGAAAAAAATAAAGGAAGATATAACAACCAAAAAGAAATAAATTATTTCATTCCCTCTAAATTAAGGTAAGAAGTACCTATTAAGCATTTATTGTCTTTGCTTTGAAAAAATATGAACTTTACAATTAAAAGTAAGTATATACGTGAGGCGCACTCTAAGTTTCCTGAATGAATAAGAAAGAAATACTATAAATGGTCAGAAATGAATTTATTGTTGCTCAAAATATTCTCCGTTAGCGTTAATGCACTTTTTCATACGAATGAACCAATTTTGAAAACATTTATGCCACTCCTCAGTGACAATCTATGAAACATATTTTTCATATTCTTCGACAGCTTCTTCAGGTGATGAAAATAGTTGACCGCGTTACTGGTTCTTGATTTTTGGAAATAAATAAAAGTCACAAGGTGCCAGGTCGGGACTGTATGCAGGATGGCTCATAAGGTCAACGTTGTTCACCTTCAAAAATTCATTTGTCTGTCTGGCCGTGTGAGAACTGGCATTATCGTGGTGCAAGATGATACGACGTTTACGGTTATTTTTACGGAGTTTGTTCCGATTGAACTTCCGGCAAACAAATGGTCGTGTACCAATCACTATTCACGGTACAACGATTCTCCAAACCAATGGTAGCCACGTGTCCAGTTTTATTTAAAAAAGAAGCAATCATCCGCTTAGAGGCACTTTGCACGCGCGCCACTTGGGTTGGTTTCGGCTCATCTCGAAAGACTCATACGCTCGATTGCTGCTTTGTTTTGGGATCGTAACTATAAATCTATGTTTTGTCACCCAAATTGCATGCATTGCATGGCATTGCACCAAGTCACGCGATCCGTTTTTTGAGCCGCAGTCAAATTGTGTGGGATCCACCGAGAGCACAGTTTTTTCACACCCAAATGTTTGTGTAGTGTTGATTGTATTTGACTCATGCTTATACCTAAAGACGCCTTAATCTCATGGTATGTCACATGCCTGTCTGTTTTGATCATACGGCGCACAGTATCGATGTTTTTGTTGTTCACAGCTGTGGACGGGCGACCATCACGATATTCGTCACTGAAATTTGATTTGAATTCTGCAAACCAGCTATAAACAGTCGTCTTGCGTGCTTCATCGCCAAAACCAGCTGGAAGCCGAGCGAAGCTCCGCTGAGCTGTTAAGTTACACTTGAAGTCGTAGAAAATCATACTACGAAAATGTTACTTCACAAGTTAAATCCATGGTGATGTATACAACCAATTTCTAAAATGAAGCCACAATGTAAAAACAAGTGACAGTCAGATGAAACAAACTGTGTTTTACAGCCAAAGAGTTCCATTTTCAAATGTTGTAATTACTTTTTAAATATTGTTTATGTAAGTGGCCAGTTCCGGAAACTTCCAGTGCGCCCTATGAATGTGTTAATGCAATCTCTAAATATTACTGGAATGTATCCAGCTTTAGTTGAAAGTGAATAAATTATTTTAAGTATTTAGATCATCAAGTATCGATATCATAAGCCAACCAGGCAAATTGGACCAGTTTGCTCCATAAACAAGTCTTTTGAATAATTCATTAAACTTTTGGAGCAAAGTGGGCGAATTGGTCGCCATTTTGAAAGTAATTACCATGAGTAGGTGCGTTGAAATTTTGTATTCTGATCGCTTGGGAAATGTAAATGACTTGCTAAAGATAGAATGCCTTGACACCATTTTAAAATTTTTTGTAAACAACTGAAGCAAAATGGCTTTTCCTTAGTTTCAAATTGGATATGTTGACATGTATAATAATCTTAACCATAACATAAAATTTAATTTGACACAATTTTATTCTGAATGTTTTGTTAACAGCTTAGGAAGTAGTACACAGAAGATAACACCTCTCTCTGAAACTACTATAATTATTTTGTTGTATTTTCTTTTATGTTTAGTTATTTTTGCAATGACTAAGATGTATTTAGAAGAAGTTTTGTAATTACGAGTATAACCAATGATATAATTAATTTGTTTTAATTTTTTACCTTTTATTTTTATTCATCAACAATCATGTTTAGGTCAATATATTTTGCCTATTTCAACGTCTGTTTATAAGTTAAGAAATGATTTTATAAAGTATGATTTTTGAACAATTGTACAATGCATTTCCCCATGGAATTGAAGACTTGCATAGTTGATCGGTAGTTCACCTGTAGGCAAAAAACCCGTCTCCGACGACATATCGGCCGCGAAGGACGCGTGCCTGCGTACGCGCATATTACCTCCCTTTCCAACTCCACATCTATCCCATTCGCACATTCGCCCTTTTAAATCAAGCTGTTGCTTTTATTATCAGGACCAGTCAGCGAACTGGATATGGTTCTACAGAATTATGAATATTATGAATATTGATATTAATGATTGATGTTAATGATTACTGTCAAGGAATAATGTCAGATGCCAGTGTCATCATTTGTACTTAAGTTATTGTTCTAAATTGTAGGGTTATGATGGTTTTAATGTTTTTATGTTAAGATCTCTGAACTCATTCTCAATTCAGATGTTAAGTATTGTATATATATGTAATTAAGTTATTATAATATCTTCCTTGAGTAATTATAACATATTTCTTTGAGTAATTATAACACACTTGAGTAATTATAATTATTATACCTAAGTAGTTGATTGGAAATAAATTTAAAAAAAAAATTATATCACATTAACCTACGTACATACTATTCTTTCTATATTTCATTTTGTTTAAATTTAACTTTATATTGTATACTTACTGTGCATTCTGATGTGGTATTATTTAAAAATGTATTATAAGGAAAATTGTAAGAAAATCTTTTTTTGTTTGTTTGTCTACACACTTAAATTTACGCAATATTTAAGTACCTACGTACTCAAAACATCGGAAATATAAATTTCTGCTGACAAAATTCCGTATATATAATGCTGACTAGCATCAACTATTACATTACCATCTAACTTCCAAGCTCACATGAGTTGGTTTTATACTTACAATTTATCAGTTTGCTTATCTTATCAGTGTGTAAGCGTAATAGTTGTGCAAGTTTGTAGATAATTTAGAATCGAAGTTATAATTCGTATAAACATTTTACAACCATCGCTTATAACGTGGTATGTAAACACGGGCAGAAATAAATAGGTAAACAAAAGACGATCTCACAAGTAATACCTTTTTAAAGGTGACTCATGCGGTAATAAATACAACGGAATGTGAGAAATGTTTGTCGCAAAAGCAGTTCTGAATTTAAAAGCTAATTTGGCAGATGTAGTGACCGAAATATCTTACCGAAGCTCTCCGTCAGTTTCAGCATAACCCCGCCAATGTGCATGTCTCCTTTTACGACCATAGTTCTTTTTTCGCTGAGGTCAGTGACGTAGATCGTGAGGTTCCACGACCCGTCGCCGACGATCTCCCCATCAGCCAACATTGTGTCTGTTTATTTAACACCAGTTCTTGTTCACTATACACTTTGCAGTCACTTCCGAAAGTTCATCGTGCTCCACAATACACGTCCACACAACTTTCGTGAGTTCACGCAACTGAAGACAAGTAGTACGTACTCTGTGACTGCGACTGAGACTGACCGGGCCGAATGTCCGTGAGAGGCGGGGGAGGGAGGATGCAAGGCTCCCAGCCCCAAGTAAAATAATGTTCTGTGTACACTACTGTAACTACTACACGAGGATTTCGGCACAACGATTGTCGACGATATAAATGAATGACAAACGACAAACAGCAACTGGCAATTAGCAGCAAAATCGCTTACAAACTTTGAATACCTACTTATTTATCGAACTTATTGTAGCATTTATACGAGCACTATACCGGTCCTACTTGTATGATACTAAAAAATGGTAGCATTTTTCTTATAATTTAGCTAGCAACAAAAAATAACACGAAAACAAACTTTGAGAAAAACGAGAAGAGAGGAAAAAAAATTGGAGTAAGAAGGCCTAATAGGTGGTAGTAGTGTAGTGAAAAGAAAAGCAAAATATTTTTCCATAGACATTAAAGATTGACCAACGTGGATTGGATTGATAATTGACAAACGAGGCATAAAAGAATGAATGAATTGATTGAACGACGTAAACAGTAATAAAATGACAGATAGATCTTGTATTAGTAGGATTAGTAGATTGTGATATGATCTATGATTGTGATTGTGAGTTGTTTATACGTACCGTACCTATAATTTTTGCAGCAACGTAGAATAACATAATATTCTGTCACATGTAGTACGCGCACGTGATTTTTATGTTCACATATGAATAAAAATAATTTTTCAACGTCGACCACAATGGTTGCAACTAAAAGCAATCACAAAGGTAGTTTATTTTCCATATGCTATATATTCTTAATGTTCTAATTCTATTTTCTATTATATAGACTGTCAGTGTGTAGATTATATCCAGTAGAATATTGTGCAGCGTTTTATTTCCATACTTACGAGAAGTTTTCAATATTTCAGTGATATCGTGTTCAACACCTGAGCATCGCCAAGAATCGCCATCAAGAGACAGTGACTCGCTTTGCGACTCTGAGGCAGCTAGCCCGGTACCCTTTCTGTGCACGCAAGACGGTTCTGAAGGGGAAACAGATGTTGTGTGGAACTTTTACACACCGAAATCTGAACATGCAGCCAAATCACGCCTTAAAAACTCCACACCGCTCAGTAGAAAGACTAGAAAAATAATAAAAACTACAGTCATTGAAAAGCCTTTGCCAAAACGAAGAACCCTTAAAGCAACACAGAAGAAAACTGAACTATTCCAAGACTTAATAGAATTAAACGAAAATTTGCATGAATTGATGTCTAAAAAACCAAAAGCTGTAATGGAAGAGAAAAGGAAATCGGGTAGTGAAGAGGATATATTCAGCGATTCAGGTGATAGTTCACCTAAGAGTGGTTTCAGAGCAAACTCTAGATGTTTAAGAAGAAATGTGCTTAGTTCGAAATTCATTAAACAAGAGGCTGAAACTGCACTGGAATCCGATGATTCCATGAATGAGTGCCTTGTAAAAGCCAGCCAAGTTGTCGAAGAGAAGATTTTAAATGAAGAACCTACACCTGCTAAGAGACTCTGTTTAGATATTGAATCAAAATGTCCAAGTCCCAATAAGCCGAGTTTAAACTTCAAAATGGATCATGATTCTATGGATGCAATTTTGAACAGCATCAAATTAGACTCTCCAATTCTTAACAAGACAAAGACAAATTCGTCTCGATTAATAAATGACTCTTTTGACAGTTTAGTCGGAAACTTGAATGACAGTGCATTGGATCGGTTAACACAAATGCCGTCTAAGGCAAATAGGAGTAAATTAAATTCATCTACAGATTGGACAGTACAAGAAGTTGTAGTACATGACAGTAGTCCGATGTCAAAATCATTTTTTGGTCGACACAGTTCTATGCCAGAGTCTCCTATTGTTGCTGAAATAAATAAACCTTCTACCAGTGGGATGGTATTTGGGAGATACAATTCTATGCCATATGCTGATAAAAACAAGAACGCAGGTAATATTATAATGCACAGTAATTAATTAGAACTCACAATCTTAATGGATTATATGGATATAGGCCTGAAAAGAGTGATGATATGGTTGTAAATGTACATTATGACATTTTCAAAAATTGTAAAAAGTATGTCAAAACCCATTGCGATGAATACACTAAAGTAAAATATTACAAGTTATTATTAATGTAATATGGAAATGCTTTAACATTACAAATTAATATTGAGTAGTCTTAGCTTCAGTTCTTTAATAACATAACATTTTCCATTTTAATGGAATAATCATTGCATTGTGGGTATTGGTTGGTACATACATGGTAGTACCTCTGCACTCATTAAACAATTGCTACGCATTGGAAGTATGTGTATTTTTAAATTTTTATGTGTATTTGTAAACCAACATTTCGGGCCCTTTATGGAAACATCAGTTTGTTTGAAAAACAAACAAATACATGTGATTTAAATTGGGAAAAATAGTTTCATTTCATATGTGTAACAATCGCAAAAACCTAAGAACTTGATGTATGTATTTTTATTTTTTGCACAGTTCTTAGGTTTTCGCGATTGTTACACATAGGGAATGAAACTATTTTTCCAGATATATATTATTATCTATATGTATATTAAGTAATAAAATAATATGATTTACATATATATTAAAATATAGAGCCCATTACCATTTTCAAATTTTCACTGTTGAGAATGGAAGAGGAATCAATGGTGTGTTTTTTCAAAATTTTAAGTTGATGAGTTTATGTTACATTATTAATTTTGGAATTGAAATAATTTTTTTTTTAAATCAAAATTGCGTGTATTTGTAACCAAATTAATGTTTGAGGCCCTATTCGTTATTCCGTTCCATGGTCACAGCTAACTGCTGATAATTTGTTGTTCTAAAACGCGACTTATGAATAATTATTTTACTGTAGAATGCATGTGCAAAATTAGTCAATGATAATGGATTAAAAAGTGTTTGGTTTGACATGGAATGACTGAGTTGTATGAGTTACTAAATAGTACAACTTGAATAGAACTTACAATATGTAGGTACTTATTTCAAAATTGTCATAATAATATTAATACTTTTTATCTTTTATCAGGATATTCACCAACAAGATGCACTCAGGAGGAGATTAAGAGAAAACATCAACAAGCCAGAGAAAAACTTCTTGCCAAAAGACTTTTGCCTTTCACTTCTACTCAACAGAGCGTTCATGTTCTACCAACCCAGGTGTCACATCCAGTATCTCAAACACCGAAGAAACCATTCCAACCTAAGGTTGCCAGTTCCATACAAAAATTTAATAACTTAAAAAAAAATCCTTTGCCAAATAACAATGTAAACTTAAATTTAGCACCACAACAGAGTGTAACCAGTTCAGCAGATATAAAAATGCTGATTGAAAAGAAAAGGCAAGAGGCATTAATGAAGTTACGACGACGGCAACCACAAAAGCCATAAGACTTGAATTTTTGATATTTATTTAAATGGAAATTATGCGTTGTTTTATGCCTTGTGATATGTAATCTAGATGTGTTTATGTAGAGATAAGATGTAAAGCTTTTTATAATCCTAGATGTGTATTTTCTATTTGTATAGGATGCCCTTTTTAATGATTGGTTATGCTATAAAGGATCAAATCCAATGATTTTATATACCTACTTGGATAAATCGTAAATCATTTACATTTACAACAGTTTTAGGCTCCGATTACAAAACAGTAGGCAGATGGTGGAGCATTAGCAACAAATAACAAACGTGATGTGAAGCCGCCTATTACTTATAGG